CCAAAATTCAATGTCCGCCGCCATTTTGGAATCAAATTTGGCGGCCATCGGTTTTCTAAAAAAAACTGTTAAATACCCACAATATGGGTATTTCCGGAAAGAGGACGACGTGTAAATCTATGTCCGCTGCCAATTTGGAATACAAAATGGCGGTCACCGGTTACAGATAAAAAAAATCAGAGTAGTGAGGAAATGCTCACCATCCCTCTCCAATGGGGGAGTTTGGTAAAGAGAGATGATCAAACCGATTTGTACCTTCCTAAAAAGTTGTCCTTGCTCGCTTTCTACTCTCTATATACAATTTTCACACTGCCGTACTCTAACGGAACTATCAACTCTATACTTTTATCTCTTCATCTATCGTATAAAAATTACCACTTTAGTCTCTAATTTGAAATTAGCATCGTCAACTATTCTAGCAAGTGTCATTAAACATAACCTGAATGCATTTTCAAATATCTTTACAGAGCTTTTCAATAACACTGGCTGTTTCAAAGTGGCAAAAGTGGTGTCCGTTTTTAAAGCTGGTGATGCTGCTGACCCTTGCAATTTATTGTCATTTATAAAAAAATTGAGAAATTGATAATTAATAGACTTGTAAAATTCTTTAACAAATTTAACGTTTTTTATAAATTTCAATACGGGTTTACGAAAGGAAGTAGTACTTCTACAGCAATAGTTGAGCTTGTCGATTTTTCATTGAATCAAATTGATAATAAATGTATCGTTGGAGGCCTCTTTATTGATTTAAAGAAGGCGTTCGATACTCTTAATCATAATATTCTTTTGGAAACATTAGATTGCTATGGTATACGTGGACTGGCAAATGACATTATTCGTAGTTATTTAAGCGATAGGCAACAGTTTGTAGTACTGAAAGATGCACAGAGCTCGCACCGGCTAGTAAACATAGGAGTTCCTCAAGGAAGTAATATTGAGCCCCTCTTATGTCTGATCTACATCGACGATATTGGAAATTTACCTCATAAAGGAATAGCCCAATTATTTGCGGACGATACAGCACTTTTTCACCCTAATCATGGTTCTTTATCTATTGTTTCTTGCATAAACGATGATCTGCAAGTTCTCATGAGATACACATTGATACACATTTACTTTCGTTTAACTTATCCAATACTAAATACACTCCCCAAGGAAAAAAAAATCTTCCGCACAATAGTCCGTCAATTGGATCTAAAGTAATAGACAAAGTATCCAGTTTTAAATACTTAGGTTCAGTGTTAGATCCTAAGCTCTCTCGGGGTGATCATATAGAACACGTCCAAAGGAAAATTTCGTCTCTTTGTGGCTTAATGTATCGTGTTAGCAAATTTGTGCCTAGGAGTGCTCTTATCATGGTTGTATTAACTCTAATTTGCAATACCTAATCTTTGTTTGGGGACACGCTTGCAAAGCTAAGATAAAAAAAGCTTCAAGTATTGCAAAATCGATGTATAAAAATCATTTTCGCCTAAGGCAATTGTATTCTACTTTCCAACTTTACACCAACATATCACACAGTATTCTCCCATTACGTGGCTTGTGCAGTCTTGCTTGTTTATATACGATACGCTAAAAAACCTGAACATGCATCGTAACCTCATCTTACCGATCGCAAATCATGAGCACAACATTCGGTATGCAAATAATTTAATTCGTCCAAGGGCATTTACATGCCTTGGTCACATACGAATCTCCTTTTATGGTCCATCTGTATTTAGCGTACTTCCGGAACGCTTGAAAAATTTGAACAATGAATTGTTATTTAAAACCAGTTTGAAACAACATTACAAATAAAAAATCAATGAACTCGTAGGGTAATTGATTCTGGTTGGACCTATCCAAAAACTGATGATGGTTGGACCTTTTTTTCAATCGCTAGTTTAGTCAATCTTCGCTAAGTTTTTATTTTCAAAGATCACTTTACTATCATAAAAAAACTCTTTTTCTTCAATTTGCATGGGTGTTTTATTGAAAAAAAAACTTCAAAACAACTTAGTTTCAATGTGTTTTCAAAACAGTTCACTTTTCACGCATAAGCTGAATGACGTGCCTTACTTTCAAACATACAAAAAGGGAATATTTTTCACATTTATTTTTATTTTCATGCAGTAAAATACTGCTTTAAGGTGTAAACAGCACGTTAGTACGCCATTTATCCATTGGTTTCACTAAAATGTTTGAATAATTGACGAAATTCGAATAGATAAATATGATCATGGTTGGACCTACGCATGATGATGGTTGGACCTATGTGTTTCCTAAGACGGCCGCTAGGTGCGCTTCGGTTTGTCTACATCCTTCATGCGCAGCTGATTTGAAATTCGATTTCGTTTTTCCGAGTGATCAGTTTCTTCGATTGAAAAAATGGCTAAAGAAAAGAGTTATACGGTCGAAAATCTTCAAGAGGCTTTTCTTTTAGTAAGAAATAAATCACTTACCGCGTATCAGGCACAGAAAAGGTACAATATTCCGAAAACGACGCAAAAATTAAGGGAAGCCACGGCAAGAAATATGGAAGGGAAATAGTGTTGAGTGTTGATTTGGAGAACCAGCTAGCGGATTGGGTTTGTATGTGCGCTGCTTCTGGCATTCCTAAGACGGCCAAAAAGATCTTGGATGTTGCTAAAGACCTTGCGTCACTAGTTGGGCGTAAATTTAAAGGAGGAATTCCATCGTCAGGTTGGTTGAAAGGGTAACCACCGATTTCCGAACTACCACGGAAGCGCCGAAAGAATATGTTAATATGAATTTACATTAAGCACTTCACATTCACCTTCTGTGTGTGAATTAACTTGAAATAAAATGTTAACAAACAAAAAATTGCTAACTGAAGCTTATTTCCGAAAAAAAAACTCCTAGTAGAAAAAAAAAACTATAAAACCGGAATTAAGTTCTGATATTCTGTCATTTTAAGCCCCCAAAATCCCCGGGGGCACCCAGAACAGGCCCGAAAGTGAAATATTCAATAGCTTACAATGGGACCACAATACCTATAGTTTGACGTTAAAAAAAATTCCAAATCGGGTCAATGATTCCCAAGAAAATGAGCCCTGATGAATAGCTAATGCGTGGAAAGTGAACTTTTTTTTAAAAACGAAGTTAAACTCTAAACAAAGTTTTTGAACAAATATGGGCTAAACTAGCATTTGCAAAAATAGGTCCAACCATCATCATTTTTTAGGTCCAACCAAGATCATAATTCTTTGCTGAATAAAAACGTTTTATAAAATCATTTGTTCATAATATTTAAATTTTTATGTTATTATTAGAAACAAGAAAGGTAGATCTTTCCCCTAATCACGCATTTTTCATAATTATATGTTGAATTCATAAAAAAAAAATACGACATGAATATTGACGTCGTGTGTAACCGGCCTAAATAGGTCCAACCATCATCAGTTACCCTAATATATATTCGTAAACTATATTATAATAATTGCACTGATTATAAGCATTGTATTGCACTCACTATTAAGCTGTATATATTAATATTTAGAATCATTTATATTCATTGGTTAGGGAACCCTTTAAAGGAACTTAGTTCCATTGGGAACATCCCACTTTGTTTGTTTTACAGATTACTCATTACACACAGCTCCAAATTATCAGCATATGTTACTATTCCTTCTAATTCTTATATTTATTTTTAAATTAAAATCGTAACGAGGAGTCCATTACCAGGGAGCTCTTGATGAAAGCTCTTTGGTGTGGGGGTAAGTTAAGGGTGCCTCAAAGGAGCGTCCAAAATACACCATGCGAAACTTCCGACCATTCAAAAATAGAATGCTCCCTTGAAATTGAAAGTGGGGGAGGGGATCCTAGATTTTATAACTGTATGAATATTTGAGAAAAGCGTAACACACGACTTATTTGAATAGTGCCATATTATTCCACTCACAGTTTCACCACCTTTACAGTAACTATCTTAGTTTTTAAATTATCAACGAATAAAATCAAAATTTCAAAATTGGATTTTTTTTTCGCGAACCTGATTGACCAACACCATTTTCCCTTACTTCAGCTTACTTTTATTTAAATTAATTGACTTTGATGATATAGCATCTCAATGAAAACAGAGCAAAAAGCTAGTTAAAAGAATTTAACAAAATTCTCAACAAAAATCAATCCCATACAATACATCTAAAAACATCACATTGTTAAAAACTGGTTCATTCCATTATTCGCATCCCAATATTATTGGATCAATCAAAACATAATAAAACTCTTATGCTTCTTCAAGTGCTTGCTCTGAAAAAAATTAAAAAGTCTTCTCCTACAAACTAGGACACTCGTCTAATATTGCACATTTACTGGGAAAGAAAACAGCATTTTCTCCACAATGCTGTTAACTGCCCGATGATAAACACCACCCATCAACATGTGGCCAGCTGTAAGTAATGAAATTGTTTCCTACAATAGAAATATTTGCTCGCTCCTTTTCGCGAACCGCGCTCGCCTGCTAATATCCTTACAACGCTGCGAATGACTGCCTGCCCAGCTCTTCTACCCGATATGTCATATGCCGACTTCGCGGACGACACTAGCAAACACCGACGACGACGACGACGACATATCTCTTGTGCACCCATCACCCACCCAAGCCCCGCCGTTTCGAGCGAGTGGCATTCGTCGTTTGTTGGTTGCCACCGTTTAGCCTCCTGTCAGTTTGGCATGGCAGCACAGCACAGCACATGATGATGGTGGCGGTAGGCTGTGGTGGGTGGTGATTTGTACAACACAACGCGAAGATGAAGAGATGAGCAGAAAAAAGCGCAACTCAACATCGAGCGGAACTCTGCACTACCTCTCGGTTTGGGAAGCTCTCCTCCGAACGAGTGGCGTGGATTTCGGGATTTCCACACAGGATAAGAGCACGCACGGGACGGGGGAGGTGAGGCGCAGTGGCGCACCGAAAAAGGCGAGCAACAGTTGGCAAAAGTGTCCATGCAATATATAAAGCGGGTGCTGCGATATGGATCGACTGTAAATGCTCTCGAACCACCGGCAGAAGCGGGCTCCGAAGAAGATTACGACCAGCAGTACAAACTCTCGGGTGGTCACCACCAGCAGCAAGCAGCGACGGTTGAGAAGCCACCGGTTGGGATAAATCAGGATCAACGGAGTGTTTATTGAAGGAGGACAAGTAGTGCTCTGAACGCAAGTGGCGTGACCAATCGAGTGGTGTGAATCAGTGCAAAGATTTTCCGTCGACAAATCAGTTGAAAGAGTTCCTTCTTACGTTTTTTTTTTCTGCGTGGGAAAGTGCGATAATGATAAGTGAACACGGGAAGGAATTCGAATCGGTTCGTGCTCTTCAAATAGTAACCGCTGAGTAGGGTGTAAAAGTGACGATTGTGAAAAACTGTGACCGGAAATTAAAATATTTCACCGAGCCCGAGGGTTTCATCATCGAAACACAAGATCCGATAGGAGCATCGGAAAGTCTACGCGGAGCGAAGCCGTGACAAAAGGTAATAAATATGCTGCTAAATTGAACGTGAAGTGAGGCATAATTTCATATTTCACTGGGAAATCGTGCTTGTCTGTTACGTTTCAAAGCGAAAACCACGAGTTCAGATATGACCACCAATGACAAGTGGGAAGCAAATATCAATCAAACTCGATGATAGATCCTAGGTCAGAGCAAAGGAGTATCGGTTACTTGCGTTGAGCCATTGCGAATATTGCCCGAGTTCAGAACTCAGAGCTGGTCAGTGACATTAAGTGAGTTTCTCTGGAAAAGCGCGAATGATAATACAGGGATAATGTTTGCGGGAATACGTGTTCGCTGTAATTCAATAAAATGCCATGATGGGGACGCTAGGTATTGTTACGCTCGTCCGATGCGTACTAATTGCTACTTAAGTGAAAAATCAAAATTTTGAGGCATCCTTTTACAGCCAAGGGAATTATTTTATCTTGTATCGATGGTTTTACTTTTAATGACATTTGATATTAACAGATGGTGTAATTGTGTTTCAGTAAAATGTACTTTTTCAGAATCAGTTTATTGTGTACTGGATGTTGAAAATAATGGAAAATGTTGGTTTCTCCATGAGTCAATTTGAAAATTGTTTCGATATGTAATGTCACAGCATAAACTTTGCAAAAGTACATGTGATGCATATAGGGGAAATGGCTAGTGTTGGCCTACGGATCTAAGATAGGGCCCATCGCTAAAAATCTTCAATTTATCACCTTTATCCAGATGAACGCATCAGTCTATGCGTTGACGCATAGTCGATTGCTGAATTTATGTATGGGCCCAAATTAGGGGCATTTAGGCCGACATTACATCCATTTCCTCTATGTAACATAAGTAGGAACATATCAGTGTGAGTTCTCACAAAGGTTGACAAAAATAAACTTTAACTTTTTCTAAAGTAGTGGCAATTTTATAAATTTTATGACCTTTTCCAATCCACGAGAAAATATCAAGTTCAAACTAGTAGAAAAATCAACAAGCTGGAAAGTATTTGAAGTAAGGTAACCTATTTATTACTATATATGCTACATTACAAGGCCTAGTATTTTTTACGCAGGAGATATTTACTAGAGCTGCATCGAATATTACTCGGATTTTACATAGACAGAAGTAATAATATTTGTCTAAATAAGCCAAATATGTCCTTATAATTTCACAAACTCAGGCGTAGATTTTATGTTTTGTGAGGATTTCACACATTTTTATAGCTCTGTGGCGTGGATTTTGCGAAAAGTTAATCAATGGATGAAATTTATGTTATAATTATATTCTTCAACTATCATTACTCTTTTTTATACAATTGGTCATACCAACTCGGGAATGTATCGTGTAGGATTCTGGATGTTCAGGAATTATTAGGAATTCAGCAGAGTATTAATATTTCACAACTCTTAATTTCACGTCCACGCTATCTCTTCCTACCGTACACGTTCTCACTCCAAACCTAAAGGTCCGTTTAGACTATTTTATTTCTGATCTGATTCTTGGTCTGATTTTGACCGCCGCCATAATGGAAAATCTGCTCGAATTTACTTTCGACACACTTTGTCTAACCTCCTGTTTGCTGGTGTTCACACTGCTTGCACAAGTCGAAAGAACTGTCAATTTAGATTTCAAAACATAACTCTAACTTCGGTAGGCGTATTAATTTTTATTATTTAAAATAAAATGAGAAGGAGGAGGTGAACTTTGCGAAGTATGATATGGTTGCTCAGGAGGACCACCAACAGGTATTTGGCTCATCTTGTCCTTCAAGAACTGTGATATGAAGACGAAAAAGGATTTCAAAACTTCGCCAGGATGTCGATACCAACTTTCGACAAACTACTGGGAAAAACTCTCTATAGATCTACATGATTCCTTGAGTTCTGAAAATTACTAATTTAATCTAATAATCTAATACAAACGCAGCCAGTACGAGGAAGCATCCTGGAATATGATTAGGTTATATGAGGTCTAATCATTTTTCTTGTCTAATTGGTAAACATCAGAGATATGATATAAACATCAATACGGCCATGCCTACTGCGTTGTATTTGCCGCAAAGATGATTCTTGGAAATGAATGGGAACATTTCTTGAATCTAAAGGGGTGGAAGCATGCGTGGACATACCGTACCAAACGCTCCGAGTTGCTATGTGTAGTTGTGTGTAATGTTTAAATATTTGTACAATATTGAAGAATCAATGGAAGGATCTTAACAAATTTTCTCCTATATTGGTAATGATTCTTTTGCGCTTAAAAGTTTCGTTAGATGCATGGAGTTTGGGATGCAGTTCCTCGTCAATGCTCGTGGTTATGTTTAGTGTTTAGTGATGGAGATAATTTCTTTCACTAGAAACTATTACTTATCAGCAGGTATGTTTTTGGACGACATACCACTGTCTGGTAGTGTTATTATGGATAAAATCTCCCTGCAATCATTTCTTATGACAGCAAGAAGCTTGCATCCGGGAGTAAGATGGTGACAGCTCTAGCCCATTTCAAGAACGCAAGCATTCCGAAGCTATTTCTACACACGATAAATTATCGATACTTATAAATCACTAAATGTATTGAAACTTTCAATCAAGCAGAAATCAGTAGAATTCTTGATTGGCGCGTATTTTGAGCATCAGTTCGTTTATTTAATATAACTTAGCTGTGTGTTAGCGTCGGCTGGAACAAACTGCTGTCTCCGTTTCGCAATCCACTTTTAATTTCACTACACAATTTATAAAATTCCGCTTCCGAATTTAATTTCACACGCAAAAATCACGCAGCAAAACAAAAAGATGTCAATTTAGCAGCACGGCCTACTTCCTTCTCTACCATAAGTTCTGAAAATTACTGTTAAGAATTCAATTCTGTATATTACTCTGAAGTTTTGTTTATGTTTTCTGGTAAAATATATTTAATGATCAACAAACTTTCCTAAAGATGCGCAAATTTCTCGGTAGTTCTGCAGATTTTTTTGAAGTTCTGTGTTCTTCAGAAGTTCTGCAAATTTCTCTAAAAATCTACAAAGTTCCTGAATCCCTGCAGATTTAAGATCCTTAAAGATCAAAAATTATCTCTGATGTCCACTAAGTTTCTAATTATCTACGAAATTCTCGAAAGTTTTGTAATTTTCTCGGTAGATTTTCATGATTCAATGAATATCTGCAAATATCGCTGAACATCTACACAATTCCCTAAAGTACTAAAAGTTTATCTGGAAATTTTTGAGCTTCCCGGAAGTATATGGAGTTATCTGAAAATCTACTATTTGTTCTGAAATTGTGCAAGCATCTCTTAAGATCAGTGAACTTTCCTGAATATCTGTAAACTTCTCTTAAAATCCAAGAATCGCAATAAACATCAGAAATTTTATTTAAACATCTACAGATTTTTCAGTAGATTTACGATCTACACTCTGAACTCTTCTGAAGTTCCTCAAATTTCTGCAAATATCTTTAAAATTCTGTAAAGTTGTCTGAAGCTCCGTAGTTCTATTCTCAAGATCTACGAAAAAAAAACCTTGAGGCTCAATAAATTTCTCAGTAGATCTGCAAACTTTTCTGAAGTATTGTAAATTCCTCCGTAGGCTCTTGGGCTACTCTGAAGATTTGAAAATTTCCCTGAAGATCTTCTAAATTACCTAAAGTTCTTCAAATGATAAATAAAATATGAAAATGATAAATGAAAATATTTGAGCTTCCTTGAAGTTTTAAATGTATCTCTCCAAATCTACAAATTTCTCTGAAATCGTATATATATATATATATATAAATTTTAAAAAATCGCCGAATTTCCCTCAAGTTCTGCATAATTTCACTGAAGACCCATTAAAATTTCTGAGATTCTAAAGAAAATCTACACACTTTCTTGAAGTTCTTCAAATTTATCTGAAGATCTATGACCAATCTTGTGATTTTTCCAGAAGTTCTGTAATTTTTTTTTAAAGTTCTGTAGCTCTGTTCTGAAGATCTACGAACTTCAATGATGTTCAATAATTTTTCAGTAGTTCTCCAAACTTCTGTGAAATTCATTATATTTCACAGTAGATTCTTAGACTGAAGTTCTGCAAATTTCCCAGAAGATTTGAAAAATGTCGCTTATAGTTTAACAAATTGATCTGGTAATATTTTAGCTTGCTTGAAGTTTTTAAATTTTTTTGAACATTTTTCTGAAGATCGACGATCACTCTTGTAATTTTTTCTGAATATGTGCAAATTTCTTGTAATATCCGTTAAAATTTCTAATGATTTGTAGCTCTGTTTTCCAGATCTACGAACTACCCTGAAGCTTTACAAATTTCTCAGTAGATCTTTGAATCCCCCTTAAACTCTAAAAATATCTTAGTAGGCTCTCAGATCTGCTGCCTGGCATGCTTATTCTTATATAATACATGCTTCGTATTATATAAAAACTGTTTTGTTGACCAGGCCTTTATCAAAGCCATTACGGTATCTTTCGGCCAATCACACACTGGAAAATAAAAATCAGTCAAATCATACACAGGACAATATTGAATAGTGAAATCGGTTCACCTTGCTGCTGGATGCCATCAAAACACAAATAATGCGTTCTTTAGCAGTTAAAATCCGGAAAATTTTAGAAAAAAAAATATTTTGAACTCACTTGCGACTATTTTGCTGAACAAGTCGAATGAAAATTAAACACAAACCTATTTCGTTCGACAAATCATGTCAGACAGCAGGTCATAGAGCTTCAGAGAGATTTGGTGATCTACTGAGAAATTTGTTGAGCTTCAGGGTAGTTCGTAGATCTTGTGAACAGAACTGCAAAACTTCTGAAAATTTTACAGAAATTAAAAGAAATTTGCAGAAATTCACAAAGATCGTAGATATTCAAAGATAATTTTAAAACTTCAAGCAAGCTTAAATATTTTCAGATCAATTTGTAAAACTATAAGGGAAATTTAAGACCTTAAGAAAAGTCCAAGAATCTACAGTGAAATGCAAAGAATTTCACAGAAGTTTAAAGATCTGCTGAAAAATTATT